GGGCGCCTCTTGAGCCAGACCGACTGCTGGGAGCGCTGCATGAGGCTGCATACGCGCAACCAGTCGGACGTGGCGTGCAAGCTACGGTACACGAGCGTGCTTTCATCTGCCTCATCTCATGACGGTTGTAGCGCGGGCGACGGCATCTCGGCGATCACGGAGCTCGCGCCAGGCCTCGTCACGGGTCCGCTCTCGGTCGTATGGCGACACGTCATCGAGACGCTCACCGGTCATTTCGACATGGGACCACACCAGCTTATGGTCGCCGCATACGACTGGCGCCTCCCGCCGTCCATGCTGCAGGAGCGCGACCACTTTTTCTACACCATGCTCAAGCGCAGTGCGTGCATTTCTCTCTCTGGCTCGGCTTCACGGCGTTGCGTTGTATTAGTCGAGGACGCAGTGCACTTGCATCAAAGCCGAGGCGTCGTCATCATCGCACACTCGCTTGGCAACAACGTCTTGCGCTACTTTCTTGCGTGGGTCAAACACCACATCCACTTGACCGACGACGTCCACGAGGTGCCTCAGGTTGTCCTTTGTGTTCCATTTTAAAAAAATATGCAAATAGGCGTGGGTTCGACGCCACATTGCCGCCTACTTTGCGCTCGGCACGCCGTTTCTCGGGAGCTCCGAGCCGCTCGAATGCCTTGTCACGGGGCTCTCGGTGAAAATGCCGCTGTCACTCGACACGTATCGTCGCCTGCAAACCTCGCACGGTACCTGCATCCTCGACTCGCTTCGTCGTGTAGCGTCGAGGATGATCGTAGGCTCGACCCAGTGGATCCTGCCGATTCCACGCACGCTGCACGACGACCCGACCGACGCGCAGGCGCAACAAGCCTTTGCTTCGGTGACGTTCCCTGGCGAGGTGCTCATTTTTACAGCTCCCATTTTTCATGCGCCGTCCGTAGGCTGGCACCACCGTCACGCGCAGCTTCTCCATGCGCGAGCTCACCAACGGCACGTTCCATCGCGCCATGGCAGCGCGCGATCCGACGTTCGAGGACCTCGAATACGTGCGGGAGCGGTCATTTGTTTTTATTTTTGAATATTCAAACTAAACCAACCCCTAGGTACTATGCGCAGGATCCCGTGCTCAACGTGCACACGCCATGGACGCGACCGCCCATCGAATCGATCTACGTCATTTACGGTACAGGCAAAAAGGTATTTGGACCAAAACACATATGTAGTTGGATGCCGAAATCCAACCCTCTTGGCAGGTGCGCCATCGGTATACGTATACCGAGCGCGAGCGCGGGGCATGGACGCTGAACGAGCTCTTCACCGAGACGCCGGACGCGGCGACGTGCAACAAGACGGGCGACGGCACCGTGTCCTACTACTCCCTCTCGTGGGGTCACACGTGGCTCGGCGCCGACGGCGACAGCGTCACAATGACGCGCGCGCCGCAAGCGCCGTACTTTTCCCGCCAAGACATTGCGCAAACGAAAGCCACGCGCGTCAAGTACGCAGAGTACCAAGGCGGCCTCCAATGCAAGTCGTCCGAGTCGCCGTCGCTGGCGTCGGCCGAGACGCAAGCCATGCAAATGCACTACAACAGCGGGTTTCTCTCCGACCTCTGGAGCTCGGCGAGCGACGAGCCGCGGATTCATTTTTTCGAACACTCGGGCGTCTCGCCGTCAGGTCGTTCTCTCCACGTACGCATCTGATTCAACTGCGATGACAACGAGGCCTCATAAACAAAGCGTGCAGACGAGCGTGTGGGAGTTTGACCTGATCCAACACCGTGAAATGTTGTCCGAACCAGCGTTTTTGCGGGAACTCAAATTTGAGCTGCACAACGTGTTTGACGGCAAGGCCCACACGGACAAGGTAAAACTTGACGTGTGGAGGTCGTGGAGTTTCATGCACGTTAGGCATTTCGACCGCCGAGCCACGACGCAGACTGCTACTGGAACTACCGCCAAGCCCGCTGCGAATTTACCGACTATTGTCAGTACGACTACAAGTACGTGGGTCTGTCTCATGAGGGACACGTCTGAAATGTGGTGACTAGATTCGGGGACGTCACGTTGGACCAGTCGTGCCGCGTGAAAACACCCGTTCGGCTCGCACCCCACGCTAATAGTGTTGTGCTGCCGACAAGCGTGGACCAGTGCGACGCGGCTTTCCCGCACGTTGTCGCCAAGCGATGCTTAGAAACCCACGACGAGACATCTTCGTAATGACCAATGTAGCCACCTCGCTACGCCATCAAATATATATGTGTATATATATGTATACTGCACAAGGTTGCCGCACGCCTGCCGCCGCTCTCTGTCGCGCTCAAGCAAGAAGGGTATGCGTCCAACAACAATGCGTCCTGCATTTACCCCACGTGCACGCACCCGTCGGACCGGATGGGGTTTTGCACGTTCCACTCGTCGCAGTTTTGCTGCCAAGTCGCGGGCTGCGCCGAGAAGCGACTGCGCGGCGCCAACCTCTGTGCGACGCACAACTCGACCGCGAATTTGGCAAAGTGCTTGCTCCATTTGATCAGCGACTAAGTCGACAAAGCGCACTCTATTTAATCCGTCGAACCCGTATCTGCATTTCCTAATCACCAAGTTCCATGAAGCATTTGAGTCTTGGGAGCAGGGTGCATCAATTTGTCTGGACCGGGGCCAGCCCTTGTTTCAACCCACCGAGTACTCGGGCGATGTTATATGAGTAGTTGTGTCTGTGGTACTAAAAGGTTGCTTGTTGAAAGTCTTGTTTGGGATGTACTAGTAGTAGTACAATGTATGGTGTCGGTGGAATGAAAATCGTCGGAGCCGCACGATGGGCTTTGACATGGCATTAGTCGAACGCTTTGCAAGTTGTATGTCTACTGGGAAACAAGCTGTGGAATGGCTGTGAGCGGAGAGCACTTTAAGTGGTTCTTCTCTGTGGTAGGAGTGGTAGTCGTCGGAGCAGGACGCGTGGTAGGTTTTTTCGCAGTCTGGTGACATGGCAACAGGTGTAAGTAGCTTTAGACGACTACACAGTGAACTCAGCTATACGTGAAGAAGCATTTTGTCGACCTTCGATTAGTACTGTGTGCTATTATATGAACTGTAATTTTTAAATTTTCGCCCCGCCTTTGTGGCTCAGTGGTAGAGCATCTGTCTTGTAAACAGAAGGTCCCCGGTTCAATCCCGGGCGGAGGCATCTTCTCGCGAGGCACCTTTTTTTGTTGCTACCACAATCGAAAAATAGAGTCGCGAATTGCACATGGACCAACCCTCTGATTGCACCCCGACGCTCCGCACAAAAGACACGTTCGCATTCGGCGGCGCTACTCTTTCCTCCTGTGCCCCTCACGACTGTACTCGTCGACTCGGCAGCGCCTGCGGGTATGTCTTCTACGTTTTGACAACTTTTGTGCGAGCGAAATGTGCTGGTGCGCAAATACATCGCGAATAGCGATAAAATGCCACAAGCGGTACCTAGAATAAAGTATATAGCGAATAAATCACATAGTGACGATTGAACAGGAATATATCCCCGATATTATACTTCATTGGATCATTTTGATCCTAGCGATCAATATGAATGCGGCTAAATGCTTCTGAAAACGAGTCATGACATGATGACTAGATAATGGAATGTTTAGAGCATAAAATATTTCATTGTATCTTTAAAAAACTTTAGTACAAAAGTATAGTCAGTGTGCCCGAGCGGTCCAAGGGGGTAGACTCAAGTTCTACTGTGTTCGCACTCGCGGGTTCAAATCCCGCCGCTGACAAAAACCTATCTTTTTGAAGAAACTTTCAAAGACTCGAGCATTTCTTGAAAGTGAGACTTCTTGCATAGTTGATCACCACCACTCACTCTCGAGAACCATGCATCCATCAGTACCGGTATGCACGTTTCCCTATTCATAAACCATTCGACGTCGTGTCCTCCTCGGTCGCCCGCTACGACCCAAGATCTTTGCAAACATAGGAATCTCCCATGGGAATCTCCTAGCCAACGTAACGTACGTTCGTGTCATTTCATAAAGCCCCAGCAAATATACCTCCTCCAGCTATATACGTGGGAAGTTTCAAGTAGTTGGGGGCTCCAGAGTGGTCCACAACGCGACATATCATGATCCAATAACTGACTTTGCCGATTGTCCTGCTAAAGGGGTCGTGAACCCCGCTGTACCGTGGTCTTTCACAATCAACATCATTTTCAACGCGTAATCTTCGTATTCCAAAGAGTTCGCATACGTATTGTAGAGACTAGCAATGTCCTTCTTCTTCTTCTTCATTCACTCGCCGGGCCGTGGCTGCGCAGGCGGCGGCGCGGGGGTGCATCTTGTTCTTCTGTAGTCGCCCGGGGGCGCTTGCGGCCGCTGTAGACCCATGACGACAAGCTCCTTAAATCCCATCCAGGCTTCGCGATCGGCGGCAAAGCTACGTAGGTTGTTGAGGTTCTCGAGAGACGCGAATGACTGAGGTGGCGTCAGCATCTGGAGGTCGCGGTGCAGGACGATCGGCAACTTGATCTTGGTGCGGCCTAAAAAACGGGGCGCCTCGGGAGCGGCAAAGATCTCTGGGCAGCAGCAATGTTGACAGGGACGTCTTCACTCGTGCGCAGCACGTGGCCTAGCAGGCGCCAGCGCTGGCGGGCGACGATATCGCTCAGCGGGCCCCTGCTTGCAGCGCTTGTAGAGCGCGACGTCGTCGAGCGTATTCGGGTGAAGGATGCCTAGAAGACGACGCAACTTAATTCATGCGTTTGTCAATATTTTGTTACTAGCAATCCGGGCAGGCGCATCAAAGATAATGCGAAGCACGTTCATATAAATAGCAATATGTGAGCTTGGCGGGCCTTTTCACCTTCTATCGTCGGTCGATGCGTCGTCTATGAGGTGTTTTTCATACAATCACGCTCGCCGACGTTGCGCTCTAGAAAGCTGTTACAGCATCCCGCTGAGCGAAATCGTTGTACGCCAGCCGTGGCGCCTGTTGGGTCACGTGCTACTATAGTATGTCGTGAGAAAGTCCCTGCCAATGTTGCCCGGGCCCGTTTTATCGCCTGCTTGGGGCGCCTTGCTGCAGAAGCAGCATCAAGCTTACGTTGTCGATTGTCCTCTGTTGCGAGCTCGAGTCGCTTACGCCCCCCTGAGCCGCTCCGGTCTGTCAACGACCTCAATAAGCCGCGTAACTTGACTCTGTTATAGTCAACGTGCCCATGGGTGGAAGCGCAATGGAAACGAAGCGTGTCAGCCATTGGGAGCTGACGTCGGTCCAAGCCTAGAAACTATTTTAGCGGTTTAGTGAACTAGCATTTAGCGCAAGTACTGTAGACAAGTAGATAGGTTTGGCTTGTCCATGGTCTCTATAAGCTGGGAGCTCTTCCATGGACTTGGCTTGGTGCATGTTGGAGGCCGTCTTGGGCGTCGGCAAGGCCACGGTACAGCGGGGTTCACGACCCCTTTAGCAGGACAATCGGCAAAGTCAGTTATTGGATCATGATATGTCGCGTTGTGGACCACTCTGGAGCCCCCAACTACTTGAAACTTCCCACGTATATAGCTGGAGGAGGTATATTTGCTGGGGCTTTATGAAATGACACGAACGTACGTTACGTTGGCTAGGAGATTCCCATGGGAGATTCCTATGTTTGCAAAGATCTTGGGTCGTAGCGGGCGACCGGAGGAGGGACACGGACGTCGAATGGTTTATGAATAGGGAAACGTGCATACCGGTACTGATGGA